TTTGAAAGAGTTTTTTTCTGTTCAATAAAATGCATAACAAAAAAACAAAATTAAATTGCTATGTTGCCACTAGGGGGCGCTTTGTCCAAAAGTCGGCAATTTTCCATTTTTACACGGAAATTTCAAATAAAATGATGCTTTTTTTATAATTTAGATGGAAAGAGGATAAAAAAAAGGAATCTGGTGAAAACCGCAAGTCTGAATCTTTATCCTAGCCCAAAATATAAATAAACAAATATTTTAAGTAAGAAAAATTTCAGAAAAAAAAACTTCTTGCCTTCCTTTTCGGGATAAAACAGAAAAAAACTTATTTTTTCACGGCACTATAGAATTAGTAAGAAGAAGAACTAGTTGTGTGTCTGAAAGTAGCTACCAATCCACGATATCAAGAATTGAAATTGAATTGAACTATAGTTATTCACATTCCAAGCCGCGAAAGCGCACTTTTAGGTGCGAGATGTATTTAATACCTCCGAACACCTAAATAGTTATTTACATTCCAAGCTGCGAAAGCGTACTTTTAGGTGCGTGTATTCAAATAGCCAAGGCTGCGCTTCGCTTCGCCTCGGCTATTTGAATACCTCCGAGCACCTAACAGGACTTGTGCAGCATGTGATGTATTAAACTTTTCATCCTTCCCCCTCAAAAATTGTGAATAGGCATGCGAAAGTGAAGGTACCTACTAGCATGTTTCACTTTCGCTTTCGCTCACCTATGCAAGATAAAAAAATCTACTTTTGTAGGGGCGAGAATGAAAAGGGCTTTTGTAGCGTGTAACGGATCAAACTTTTCATTGCTCCCCTCAGGAATAGTATATTACATGCGGAGATGGAAAGTGTTCTATTATTGTCGAGAGATACTATGGTTGACGGAGGTGCGAAGCGCCGAGGTCAACCAATTCTCGAGACAATAATGTGAAAACTTTCCACCGAAATATATATACTATTTTATTTTGAACCATTAATTATTGAAAAAAAAAATAAGGTAAAAATATGAGGAAAATGGAATTTCGACTGATAGTCGGACACCGACATTGACATCTTAGCCGTTTTCGGGTGCTCCTAGAACACTTCACACGTGTCAGTGACCTGTCATACTCCATGCGTTTTGCACTCGAATGTTTGAAACCCAACGGGTCAAACTGTAGCCGGAGTACTTCGGAGTAACTCGGGAGCGCTCAAAGGGTGGAATCCGAAAGTAGCTCTTATGAATTTCAATAACAGAAACACATGTGACATCTACTTCTAAATACAAACATTGCACCTGGATTTGTGTTTAGGTGTGAAAGAACAATTTATCAGGGTCAAAAGTGAGTCCTCCAGGCCGAAAGTGACAGAAGAACAGTCACTTATTTCGGCCTGCGTTAAAGTGAACAAAAGAAGAGTGACATTTTCGAACCTTCAAACCAGTAAGGAATGTGATTTCAAAATTCAATGTGGCACCTGGCGGAGATATTTGGAACTAACTTAACGAGTAATAGATCGGTTGTTCACATACCGTAATGAAATATTTTATTGCTTTTTCGATGTTTTCTGTTCGTTCCTAATTTAAATTACGTGTTTTGTATTGAAAAGTGGGAAATATTAAAGGGAAAGCTTTTATTGTCATTCTGTGGGGTGCTATTATTACAGGAATTCAATGGCATCTGCCTCCAAGTCCAAGGGGTCCAAGCATAACACAAACTGCTGTGTATACGAAAGCCATTCCCGGAAAGGTGCAGACAGAACTATTCATTTTCATTATTTTTCTAAGAAAAATAGTGATCGTGCTTTCTACGCCAACCTGCAGGTAGGATAAAACTGTGGCCAAACTCAAAAACAGGCTTCCATTTTCCATATTTCGTGTTGTATGGATACGAAATGCACAAAAGAAAGTCACAACGTTCAAAATTTATAAAATATAGTAAAAAACCACCGAAAAAACTACGAGAACAACGAGAAAATTAGCGAAAGAAATACGAATGCATATAAATACAATGTTGAATGTCAAAATATTACTCGTTTTCCGCCATATTTGTTTACAAACGCCAGCGCCCCCATCGGTAGTCAAAATCGCCAATATGGTTTAAAATAATAGTATATTACATATCGAGGTGGAAAGTGTTTTATAAATGTGAGAGATTTTACAACGGTTAGACCGAGGCGCAACCGAGGTTCAACTAAAATCTCGAGACAGTAATGAAACTTTTCACTGAGGTATGCATACTATTTTATTTACAATCATTCGAATTTTGTAATTTTTATTTCAATGAAAACTAAAGAAATATAATAAATTTCAACAATTTCACTTACTTTCGGCCCACGGGAGGAAAGTGAACTTTCAACCCGTGGGTGAAAAGTGGTCAAAAAAGTGACATTTTCAAACTTTTTAAAACTCAGAAAAGTCAACATTACATGTATGATTGTAAATAACATGTTTTTCTATCTTGAATGGGCAAGCGTAAGTGAAAGAAATCTTCTCAGCAGCAACACACACAAATCGTCAGAACTACTGCGAAAAATCCCATTTTTTTCGGATCAATCGCAATCGCAACCTTATGAAACCAATGCTTGTTGGACGATAGTTTTGAGAACTGTTTGTTTTTTAATTAGGTTTTATGTAACTTTCATTTCAATATCAAATAAAGGTTCTGATATTATTTATTATTATTCAACCAAAATGTTTCAAGGTTTCCGATAAGTATCCCCACAAAGTCTCACGAATTTGTGTCACCTCGTATTTATATGAAATTTTCGAATTTTCATTATCTCAATACCATTTGAACTATTCTGAATCTCATTTGATGCTTTCTGAATTACATTGAACGTTTTCTCAATAACATTTGACTGTTTCTCAATTACATTTGACTATTCTCAATCACAATTAACTAATTCTCAATTACATTTAACTATTCTCAATAACATTTGACGGTTTCTCAATTAGATTTGACTATTCTCAATTACAATCAACGAATTCTGAATAGCATATTCAATTATTCTCAATTACATTTAACGCTTTCTCAATTATATTTAACTATTCTCAATTACAACTGATGCTTTCTGAATTACAATTGGAACAGGTGTAGAGGAGCTACCCCCTCACGAAAAATCATTAGAAGAACTCAAACTGATTAACTAAATTCTATAGAAGAATCACCCAAGGTATTTGATTTTGTACCGCCATTTGACCCTTGATATGTCGCAGCAGAAATCGGAGATTCCTGGGGAGAAATGATCACTTTGTAAAATAGAGAGTCAAAAAACGACAGTTTTCCAACTTTCAAGAAAATTAAAAAATTTGGGATGTGAAGCTCTTATTGAACCTGGCAGATCTTCCACAGCGAATAGTTCAATTTGAAAATCATTCATTGACCATATCTGATTGTGTTTTCCAACATCCTATACTTAAAGGGGCTGTGACCCTAAAAAACGACTTAAGCTACTGAAATCAAGAAAAAAATTCCAAGATCTCTCGTGAAAACCGCAGTCCTATATTCAAAATAGTCTCCGAGAAAACTCCTTGTGAAGATAAATTATGCTTGTGATGTCACAACCGCCGAAATCGCAGTTTTCTGGTCGTTCAGTCGTCAGTGAACCGTACCCTATACTGAGTGGTTGCAATTCGCTCTAGGAAATAATTGTCTCTTGGTTTGAAAAATTCTTACACGTGTTAATAATGTCCCTGATAATCCAGGGTGACGTCACGAACACCTAGTTATAACTTTAAATCGACCTAACTCGAAAACGGACCATCGTAGCAAGATGCTGTTTAAATATTTATTCTTAGATTTTTTTGCACTAAAACATTCATTTTTGGGTCACACCCCCTTTAAAGGATCCAGACACCTGTATTATCCGAAAACACCACAAAACTACATGCTTGAATCCGTTGCTGGAACTGGGTCACTCTTATTGAATCACTTCCAGATAAGAAAGCTTATACCCCTGGAGATGATGCTATTTATTGAACGCAAAATCAAGCAGCTTGCCGTCACCCACCTTTCTGAAGCTGGCGTAAGGGGAAGGTGCACACATCATTAAAAGATGACCTTCTGGGGAAGAAGATAGATCCCCAGATTCTTAACAAGATAAGATTTGCTATACCAACAGTCGGATTAGCCCAAGCTTTTCCTCCCGAGTGTTCTTCATTGCCGGAGAGGGTTTACAGAGATATCAAGATTGAGATGCTGAGTTGGCCTTTCTGTAACTATTCGCCCTTCTGTCTTAGCCATCAGGATCAGAGGATCAGCTGCACAAAATGAGCTGGTACACGCGACTCTAGTAGTTTTTAAGTCTCTTCTAATCAGTAGAGAGGAGGCATCCAAAGAGATTTCCAGAGGTTATAAAGAAATGAATGATCTGTTGAATATTTAACATTTATTTGTGTAATCCTAATCCAGTCAACATAGATTGTGCATACACTACTTTATATTCCAGGTAAATCCACATGCAAAAACGTATGTCACTCTGTCTTCATATATTTCATAAAAATTATTATCACTCAACATACTTGTCAATATAGTGCAATAGTGAAAGACTTCTATGTTTAATTTTCCATTAATTCTCAATAAATTACTGAGATTCGAATAGGTTACAGGCACAGTCACCAAAAGCTGTGAAAAATACTGTAACTGGAGTAATTTGTGTGGTTAAATTTTCGAGAAGAATCAAAATGGTGGAAAAACTAAAACAAACAAAGAAACAAGTTCGAGATGGCGTCAGCTTTATTACCATTCCCTCAACTAACAAGTGATAATTACAACAACTGGAAATTTAGAGTTGAAATATTACTAGAAAAGAAAAGCGTGAAAGAAGTGTTAACTACGAATCAAGAGGACTATGAAAAACTTGATATTAATAATAAAGTTAAGTATAACAAGTCAGATACAAAAGCAAAATGTCTTATAGTACAATGCATGACCAGTCCAACAAGCATCTAGAATATATAAAAGATGCAAAAACTGCAAAAGAAATGCTGCGGAGCTTGAAAAATGTTTTTGAGAGAAAGAGTACTTTCTCAAAGCTGTATCTTATGAAAAACTTACTTTAAGTTAAAGTGTACCAGTGATGAACTTCAAGAACATTTTATGCTTGTGGAAACACTGCTTCGAGACGAGAACGATAAAGTATGCTATTTGTTGTTAACCATTCCTGAAAAATATGATACAGTTATAACTGCAATCGAGACTGTTACATCAAATATTTCCATGAAAATAAGAGCAAACTTTTAGATGCTGAAATAATATTCAAAGAAAATGAAAAGCAAGAAAACATTTCAGAATCGGCATTTTATAGTAAGAAAATGCCAATAAAATGTTATGAAGGTGGTGAAAATCATTTCTTGCGTGATTGTCCTAATAATGGAAATAAAAATGATTACTCTCGTGAGTTACTTTTCAAGAGGTCAATATAGTTTCAATTCAAGCAGAAGTAGAGAGCGAGGACAAATTTTTCTACTGATGACAAAAATGAAGATGGAGATGAAATAATATTTCTGGCAGAAGTTTTAAGTGCAAATATACTAAAATTGGAAAATAACTGAAGAATTGACTTTATTCTAGATAGTGGGGCAACAGATCGTCTAAGTTACAGGAAACATGGAAAAACACATGACTAACATTGTAAAACTAGACAACGAGTTAAAAATTAGAGTGGCGAATGGAAGTTCATTGAGCGTATGTAAAAAAGGTAACCTGACTGTAAATTATAATGATAAAAAAATAGACTTTTATGCATTAATAGTACCAGATTTGACATTATAATCTACCAAGTGTCAAGAAAATTAATGAAAAAAGAAATCAGGTACTATTCACTAAATAAAAGGCTATTATAAAATCAAAAGGAGGCATAAAAATAGAATGCATGACAACTGGAAACCTTTAGATTTGAATTATTAAACGAAACTTGCAACTTAGCAGTAACAGGAGAAATTTGGCACAAGAAGCTAGGACATTTATCTGAAGTTTATATGAAGATGCTTGTATGGAGGGTAAGGCAACAAGGCAACCGTTTGAAACTCTTGATTTGCCAAGGTCAAATGCAGTTGGAGAGTTTCTATATCCAGATATTGGGGGACCAGTCAGAACACTTACAGATAATAACGGAAAGTATTACCAAACAATAATAAATGACCATTCTCATTTTGTAAGTGTTTATTTATTAAAAAGAAGAGCGAAGCACAAAACAATTTAATGAATTATATCAGAGAACAAAAAAATCGAGGCCGAAGAGTATTAAAAATTAGAATGGATAATGGGGGTGAATACACATCTGCCGAATTTCATAACTTTTGCAAACAAAAGGGGATAAAGTGTCAGTATACATTACCTTATACTCCTCAGCAAAACGGTGTAAGTGAACGAGCCAATAGAACATTACTTGATAAAGTTAGATCAATGTCTGCAGAAACAAATCTCCCTATACATTTATGGGGAGAAGCCATAAGAACTGCTGCTTATCAACTGAACAGATCTCCAACCGCTGCTTTGAATTACAAGATTCCTGTTAGTATATACTATGGAAAAACAGACCTTAGCAAATTAAAGATTTTTGGCAGTGAAGCATGGGCATTAAAACTACTAAATTCTGGAAACAAACTTGAAACGAGAGCAGAATCTTGTCGTATGGTTGGATATACTATTGATGGATAGCGTTTATGGAATCCAAGGACAAATGGAATTATTGTATCTCGTGATGTTAGATTTGATGAGACTAACATAGTGCATGGACTAATTCAAGATGAAAAAGAAGAGGAAAATTACGAAAATACTGAAGACAATGACAATGAAAAAATTAGTGATGATGAAACAACAAATAATAATAAAAGAATGAGAACATTGCCAGCAAGATTTAATGATTACAAATTACATCACAACAACGTCATTGATCACGCCTATTGTTTATTAACAGGAGACGAGCCTAAAGATTATAACTAGGCAATAAATACCGGACAAGAATGGAAAGATTCAATAAATAAAGACTTAGAAGCTCACAAAAAATATGGTACAGTGGGAATCATTGCAATTGGCACACACTATATAAATATCCCTCGTAATGTGTCAAATCTGACACACAGTAATAGCAAAATGCTGCACTAAATAGATTTATTGGTAAGAATTTTGACTTAATACGAGGGATTTTAAAGAGTGTGTGCCAATTGCAATGATATCCACTGTACATGGGAACCAGTAAATTTTCCGGAAGGCGAAATGCTCATTGACACATGTTGGATATTCAGAACTAAACAGAATGGATTAAAAAGGCACGTTTAGTAGCCAAAGGATATCAAGAAGAATATCACTAGAATGTTTAAGCTCCAGTAGCCAGATATTAAACGATAAGAATGTTTATATCACATGCAATGAACAATACTTGGGAAATTAGGTAACTTGATATTCCTACAGCCTTTATAGATATTTACATAAAAATCCCAGATGGTGTGAAAGTCGACAAGAAATATGACTCATTAAAGTTGAAAAAGGCACTATATGGATTAAGGGAAGCTCCAAGATTGTGGAACGAAGATTTCATGAATTTGCAGAAAAGTATCAGCTTAAAAGATCAGGAAATGACTCTTGCCTTTATATTTGAGAAGACGTATGGCTATTACTCTGGGTCGATGACATTATTTTGACAGGACCAAATCATTTGAAAATTTTAAATAAGGCATTAGAGGTAGAATTCAATGCTAAAGATTTGAGAAAACTTAATAATTTTTTTGGTATGGAAATAATGGACAAAAATGGTCAGAAATGCATAGGTCCACCCACTTTAATCAAGAAAATGCTTGCTAAATTTAATTTAGAAGAATGTAAATTTATATACTCCAATGGAACCAAATTTCCAAATTCAAATACAAGAAGTTGACACCAGTGTACCATATCGAGAACTGATAGGGTCATTATTATATGTGGCAACAATTAGCAGACCTGATATTATTCTCTGCAATATATCTTAGTAGATACCTTGATAAGCCAACACAACAACTATGGACAGCAGCAAAGAGAATACTGAAATATCTTAAACAAATAATTAACATGATGGCTCTGATTTATGAATCAAATACTACAGAGAGACCAGAAATTTTAGCATACAGTGACGCAGATTGGGGAGGAGACCAAACTGATAGAAAGAGTATAAGTGGATGTGCAGTGTTTTATAACTGAAATTTGATATCATGAATATCAAAGAAGCAAAATGTTGTGGCACAATCCAGCTTCGAATCTGAATATTTAGCTAGTGCATTAACGGCTTCGGAACTTGTTTTATCTACAAGGCATTTGTAGAGATTTTGGACTTGGAAACCCAACAACAACTTTATTATTGGATAATCAAAGTGTCCTACGATCCATCGAAAGCTTTGAAAATAGCAAGATATCAAAACACATTGACATCAAAGCACACTTCATAAAAGATGTTGTAGCTTAAGGATTAATAGAAGTGTTCTCTTTCCTCAAATGAGAATATTGCAGACATATTAACAAAACCTCTTGTGAAAGAGAAATTTATATTTTTTAGAGAAAAGTTGAATGTTAAATAATTAAGGTATTTTGATTTGTCAATATTTTGTTTAGTGTAGATTTCATTTTTTTTTTTTAAGGTATTTCTTTTATTTACAATTTGAAACTTTTATATTATATACAATGTTTAAATTGAGAAGGGGTCTCAATAAATTACTGAGATTCGACTATGATTCGACTCCCACACACTCATATTCCTCTTAATCAAAGAGGACTAGGACTAGCAGATTGGACAAGCTAGAACGGAGCCAGACTGAGATGAAACACATGTTGGAATCATTCATGAAAAGGTTTGACGCTCCAGAAGACGCTCAAGGGTATTATTCGTTCTGTTTCGCACACTCTATCGCTATCAGTCCAATGGGTGCCGCCTGAGACCATAGTTACAAGACGACTTGGATTTTTCTCCAGTGAGAGCAGGAGTTTTCAATTCCGGCATCAAAACCGCACATTGCGATCCAGGGAATCGGTTGCCAGCGGCTTGGCAAATTATCCTTCAAGCAGACAAGGTATACCGAGGTGCAGAAGAAGCTGCATGCCGCACCAATCTTTAGTGCTCTCAAAATCAACCCTGCGCCCGTAAGGAGCTCTTCTCAAGATCAGACTCTTGGTATTATCGTGTGCGGGCACCTTTTGCAAAGGGAGGCTTTTACTAACTCTACTATCCATGTAAGATGACTTTCAAATAAGCATCCTTCGGTGAAACAAGATTTGAGGATTGCTCTCTTTTCAGCAGAGTCACCTTTCAAGGGCATCTCCGATGATGATGTCTTACAATATGCTTGTGATCGTCACCCAGAGGTAATTTAGCAAAGGCGCAAGAGAAGAATACCAGATATCAGATATCCCTTCTTAGTGCAATTCCGCCATACACGACCCATCTCTTTTGTGAAAGACTGTTAAAAAACTGCTACTCCTGCTGTCCACCTAACATCTCATCTGGAAGAATCTCTAAAGCGAATCGATAATGCAATCCTTACTCCAAGGCTTCCGAAAAGGAGAAAGGATTATCAAGGAGTGACACTTATTGGACTTAAAATCTACGTCAACCGGTCGGGTCTGATTGTCTGATGATATTGCTTATGACTATAAACAATTCCGGAGCCGTCAGTCTTAGACAATAATTACCGGTGTAACGAGAAAACGTCATCATCCTGCGGCCTTCTTTTATTGCATTAGGATAGGTCACGGCCGTCGCTCGTCTCTGTCATTTTGTTGGTTTAACAAATGTTTTTGCTGTAACGACTCAATATTATGCTTGGCCACGTTCCGCATACCTGGATTGTTTGTATTCCGGTCTGATGCTCCTAAACATCGAAATCCGACAACTACGATGCACACTTGTTAAAGCAATGAATAATTCACATATAATTAGGATTGCGTACTTGAAGGAAGAGATTTTAATCGAAAATTCAACAAACTTGATTAAGTAATGATCGACTTCATCAGCATCAATACACAAACTGACAATTTTTGTATGTTAATTCTTATTGGAAATTCTTTCAATAAAATTCAGAAAGCGATGATACTTCAATCACAGTTGACAAAGGTCTGACTTAACTTTAATTCCCTTTCGCCATTCAAAGACACGTTCGGTGCATCAGCTGTCATGGTTTGAATCTTCTCCGAGTG